ACTGCAGCCTCAGCCCCCCGGCTGGCTACCAGGGCTCGGGGCGTGCTCCCCCCTCCGCGGGCCGTCCGCTGGCTCCCCAGGAGCAGGCAGTGAGGAGGCCGGGTGCGAGAGTGCAGCAGGAACCCTCCAGGGACTGAAGTGATGTCCAAGCCCTCTCGGGAACATCTGCTCCCAGGTCCAGTCTATTCATTGCAGTTAATTATCGGGGTAATCAGCTCCTGGCCCCACCTTGGGCCATGGCAGGGGTTGATCCCCCCCGTCAGCCACAGCGCTGGGGCTTTGGAGCCAGCACAGTCCCAGGTCCACAACTGTGTTCCCACCTCATCCTATGGTTGTGTCTGGAACAGAACTTTACACACACGGCATGATTTGGCAATCTTTATATCCACAATACATCATAACCATGCACAAAAATCGAGGGAGGTGTATATTTACAGAGTGAATTGCACTTAACTGAACACAAGAACCAGGAAAAAAAGTAAATGAAAGGAACCTCTCTTCTGGGTTGCATAAAGGTCCAGTGCTATTTATAGCCTACAAAGCCTGATAGACAAGACTACCGTGCATTATCTGACCAGCTTAAAATAAGAATTACTGCTATTTGAGACAGAACAGCCCTGCAGATACTCATTTCATGGGAACGTTCCATTAATCACCATTCAACCTGTATTATCTATTAAGACTCTATTAAGTGCCTGCAAGTGAAGAGAATCCAACCTCAGCCATGACTGTGTTTTACTGAAAAAGACTGTCAGCCTTCGCCTCTCATTTCCTGATTTTTCTTTTCTTATTTGAAACTCAGACCCCTACCTTTAACACTGTTTTTCCCATTTCTGTAATGAAGGAAAAAGGCCTCCCTAAGTGACTGAGGAACTTCATTAGGATCATCTTTCTTCTACACAGTCCAGAACCTCTAAGCAAGTTTCTTCCTTCATGACTGGAAGGGAAACGACAGCCAAGCACAGGTAAGACTCAACCAGTAACAGCCCACAAATAAATCATGTCCACAACTTCTGGAACAGCACAGCATGCAGGAATCGAAGCATCAGGAAGCAAAAATACCTACTGTACATTTTTCCAAGCATCTTTTGGTAACTGACCTGCTCAGATAAAAGGCACAGACAAACCCTTACCATCCTGGCATGTGCAGCAGAGAGAGCTCTACCCTGTTGGCACAAGAGTAGCCCATCACCAGCCTTTCCACATGCCATTAGAAGGTCATTAGAAGTGACTCAACAGAGCAGCACCCAGACAGGGGATCTCTGGGATGCAGCAGTCCTACTGCTCCTAGTAGTAAGTGCTGAGAAGCAGCCACAGGGGAAGAAGGGATCACAGTGCCTTTTCCTTCCACTGAATTTTGTCAGTCTTCACAGCACACACACAAATCTTCTTAACAAAGTAGCAAGTAGTCACTCATCAACTGGATTTTTAGGTTTATACAATGACAGAGTTTTAAAACTTTCCTAGGAACCAAACTTTCTTGCGCAGGCTACAGACAAACTCTCGGTGGAGACTCTGGACTCTAACTCATGCAGTCTGTAACCATCCAACTTAACAGGAAAAAAAAAAGTCAAGACTGAGGCAGCCTATCCAATGAATTTATTTTTCAAATTATCCCTTTGTGCACTCCCCACTAAATAACTTTTGTGTGAATTTTGGCCTTTACACTCCCCATAATTAACAGGGTAGTCAGCAGAAGAGACTCCTGTCTAATTCTGCATTGCAGGACTATGCTAAACATGTGCAGGAGCCTTCAGCTGAGGTTTGTATAACTGACACCGGGTGCTAAGCACACAGTGCTTTTTAGTGTTATTTTTCAATAGCTAAATGAAAGTCATCCTCAATATCCAAGTGAGGAAAGTATAGCACATGTGCTTCGTTCACAGGCAGCTTTCCTGCCATCAGGAGTTTCACATAAGCCAAATTCTGCCCTCAAAGCTCTTACAGCAGATGGAAAAGAGCTGGAGTCTTTTCTATTTTCCCTGGCAGGAATACTCAGAGGCACAGAGCTGCTGAAGCTGCAGCAGGAAGCAGTCCAGGTGAGGTTACATTTAACTGTTATTGTCACATCAGGAAAGCACAGGTGAGGAGTTTGGCCTTTTGGAGAGCTTCTTGAACATCACCCAGCTCTGCAACAGTTCAAGCTTCCTCAGGAGTCTTCCCCTCTGCAATTTCAGAAGCCATCACCAGCAGTGGGCTGGGTTGCAGCTACAGCTTCTGTGGAGTGCACAACACTTCCAGCAGGACACCAGGGCACTCCAGATCAGAAGTGTCTTCCCCTGCCTAAGCACAGGTTTTACCAGGCAGAACTGCTCCACTCTCCTTCTGTTGGCACTAATGGCCCTGCGCTGAGTCTAGGCAAAACCCTCTGATACCCCTAGACAGACTGCATCTCCAACCGCCTGGAGAGCAGCACAACAGCCTGGGAAGGAGTCAATCCCCGGTCCAACAAACTGACCAACCACAGCAGAAAAAGCCACTGCTTCATGTACAGTGTTCACACAAGCTGTGTGTGCACATGTGCACACAAGCACACTTCCCACATCTCGGGTACAGCAAAGTCCTGCAGCAGAAGGCAGCAGCCTTTCCACACCACACAACAGATCTCAGGAACAACACAGCCCTCCTGGCATGAACAGTGCAAGTTCAAGATCTACCTGCTCTGAGGGGCTTTGGTCAACACACAATTAAGCTGTTCCAGGTCTCTTCAATAGCCATATAATTTAACAGCAGTTGAGCCCTAGACACAAGCCTTTAATTGGGATTCTGAGGCAAAGTTTAGAGCCTTCCACAAAGTCAAATACTAAAGAAAATCTGTTTTAAGAGACAAGGAAGTGACTAAACTGCTTCCTAACTTCTTATGCCAGGCCAGACTGATTCTAGAAACTTATGTCAAGAACATAATTTGCCAAGTAAACACATTAATACATTACCCTGAATTAGTAAGTCTTCTTAACAGCACGATTATTCCTCACACTATTCAACTCATTTCTTTTTATAAAAGTTCTGTTCAAAATTTAAGGAGCCCAGCTTCACTGGTGTCCACCTGTTCTTGAATAAGATATTTTCAGTATCTAAGAGTTTTCCATTCTCTCCGATGGTGCACTCAGCTGCCAGCCTTTCTAAATACTGACCGCACATCACACTCAGGACCACCAAAAAGGAGTCAGTTCCCACCTTCACTCAGCAGGACGCTATTAAAGTAAATACCAAGTGTTGAAAGTGCTTCCTGAACCGGGATGTCCTTCAGGGCAGAACACTGATGCCTGAACTCATATCCTCATTCAACGGGAGGCTGCAAACACGCACCGCTTCACCTTGAATGTACTCTCTAAAGAAAGCTGCAAAGTGGAAATGCTAGGCACCACGTGAACCCTTTGCTTTGAACTACGGCCCTCTAGGTGCATACAGTACAAAATTAAAGGCATTGGTCTGGAAATCTTACAAAAGAAAAGCCATCAGAGTTAACCGCCCTTAATTTTATTACATAACCAGACAGAACAGTTGAGACTGGAATGTCAGATTTCCCCTTCAAGCACAATTCACAGTTTCATATTTGCTTTGTATCAGAAAAGAAAAACCAACTCACTAATACGCAGGAAGGATTCATCAAGTGTGGTACAGTCTCAGAATACAGAGCAAAAAATCACTGCAAATTGCTTCACTAGTATTCAGAGAGCAGCAGATGGTCTCCAACTCTTCCTTTGGACAGTTTCACCCAGTATTTGCCTCACTGTAACATTCAGCGTATACCAGAGGGGATGCAAGTGTGTAAGAGCTAGTGAATGATGACGAGCCATCATCACAGAGCATTTTCACAAGCTAGCAAGAGACTGACTACACGGAGGTGTGACAACATTCTTCCCATTCAGTGAAACAAAGTATTGTAGTAGTTAGCCCTGCTGATGACAGATCTGTTACATCAGGGGAAGTACAATCATTTGAGAATTACAGTCTGCAATTCAGTAAAACAGAACAAGAAGAAAACAACAGGTTAGTAGTTATTATGTGAAATCTTAATATTATGCATTTTAGTAGAGGTCAAGAAGATTATGCACAAGGTCAATAGTGAAAGGTCATGAAGAGAAAGTTCAAGATGCTATGATTCTGCAGAAGTTTTACAAAATGTATAAAGTATTGTGTTTCTCTACAACAACCAAAACCCTTACAAGTGCAGGTATATACATGACATGAAAATATTGCTTCACTCACTCAAACAGGGGTAGGAAAGATCTAGAGAAAAAGCAGCATGCAAAAAAGTCCTGGAACTACAGAAGATCCTGCTTTCAGACACTGATCTAAAGTACAAAATAAGCCGACTTGTACAGGTTGCAAAGTGTTTTTGAAATCAATATGCTGGCACTTACTGTACAACAATGTTAACTGATTAACATAAGCCATGAATAAATATTAAGCGACTTCATAAAGCCTGCGCAAGCAGCACAGGCATCCATGGTGGCAAAGAAAGCAAAGCAGACATACTTCATTGTTCCCAAATAAAACAAGAATAGAGAAAGATTTTCCAAGCAGGAATCGGTAAACTACACAGCCAGACTAACTGTATTAGGGGTAATTACATAATAAGTAATCTTATTTTCAACAGCTTTCTTATGTGTGTGCAGCCACTAAAAACCTCACCGTGAGACTTTATCAGGACAGAAAACAGAGCGTTTGGTAGGACAGCTATTTTCTTTTAATTTCTCCCCCATGTTTACAGAAACACAAGAAAATAATAATCTGACTATGGGAGGAAAAAAACCTTGTCACCTAAATGTAGTTATTTCTTCAACTGTTAGAGTCAAGTCTCCATGGTTTCTCTCCCAGAAAACAAAAAAAAAACAACACCAAACCCAAAAAAACCCCAAAACACAACCCAAAACCATTTGAGGAGAGTGTTTCAAGGGATAATATCCAGCAGCAGATGTTCCAACACAAACATGTCTATCAAATCAGTGCCTACATTTCAAGCCCAAAAGTCACCACATTGAAGGGGATTTCAGAGGCAGGGGAATGTTAGCCCTACAATTAAAGCCCTAAGATGAAAGGGGGGGACTTGGGAATGGGGTAAAGGAGGGAAGAGGAAGTCACTGAATCACAGGAGATAAGAAGTGCACACAAGTTTCTAAATGAAGCACAGACGAAGTGAAGGGCACAGGAGTCATCTACAGGAGGTCACAGGTTCTGACAGCACTGGAGTTTGTTGGATTTCTGTCCATCGGTGGTTGGTGGGACACTGATGTCGACTACGTTGTTGCCAGGAGACTCATCGTGTGCAGACCGATCTGCAATCTGCTTCTGCGAAACAATGCGGTAGATTTCTGAAATGAGAACAGACTTGTTAGAGCCCAGGAAGACACTGCCTCCGATGGAGCACACGTAGAAGATGCTAGAACCCAAGAATGAGAAGATTTTAACTTGAGAGCTGTGACAGGGAATCTAGTCTGACCAGCTGTGGCAGCCAACATCTCCAGCTCTGTAAGGGATATGCCAGCTCTGGCTGGAAAAGTTAGTACGACGAGTTCCCTACTGTCCCACAACAGCACTTCCTATCCCATTCTTTTTCAATGACTCCATGAACATAGGTATTATGAAAAGGCTTCTTAAATGAGAAAAGAGAAGGAGTGCTCATTTATAAAACAGGGAATCACCTTATTCTTGGGGGAAAAAAAAAAGGGCAGGCAACATAATCTAGAAAGACCAATGAACAGGAAGCTTGCAAAATGTCATTGTGCAGCAGCAATGACGGTATCTATTTCGCACTTCAGCTTCTGGCAAGCTGCTGCTACCAAATGACAGAAATGCCTGCTCCTCTCTGTAACAAATCAGTTTTCCCACCTATGATGGTAAAAAGCCACATGGTTCCATAAGGTCCCGTATTGATCTGAAAATGCTGTTCCTGAGAGAATTAATTTATCTGACGCAAATTAATTTATACCTGAAAGCACACAGATCCACAAAACTATAACCACTGAAGAGATACTGCCAGCTTAAAAGCTTTCAGAAACAAACCATTTCAACTGCACAGTTAGCAGAAATAATTTAAGTTGAAAGATTTTGAAATTACTTATTTCACTGACTACAAGCCCTTGTTCCAACTTCCCTCCATTGTGAGACAGGAAAAGGACAAGTACCTCCCTGGAAGTCTGCAGTAAATACTATGGTCACATTCATACAGCCACAACCTCAAAACAGCAACACCCAAAGTCTTCAGGAAGGATTAAAAATCATGGGCAATGATGTGGGTTTTTTATGTATTTTTTTTTAAAAAAGAAGCTGCAGATATTTACATTGTTTAAAATGGCACCTTTTGACCCAATACTGATTTTGCTGCCATCATGTACCTTCAGCTCTTTTTGCTGAAGGGGATGAGGAGAGCGGTACAGGGGCTGTTGCAACTCCCTTCTCATGTGCTCAGGGGTATATTTTAATGCCAGTTATTCAGAGCCGCTGCCAAGCCCTCTTTGCTTTGAGGTGGCATCTGTTTGGTTTGGTTGGTTGGTTGGTTTTTTTCTCCAGTTTTTAGCAATCCCTCAAACTGGTGCCCAGTAAGGAAACTCCTGTCCTGCTGCTCACACCCTTTTCCCTCCTCCACCTGCTCCACAGTTGCTCCCAGCTCTACCCAGCACATTTTCCTGGGGTTCTTTTCCTCCCTTAGCAGGATGATTCTCTCCCAGCTATCACTTTAGGAACAGCCTTTTCAGGACTCCTCAGTCCTACCAGCCACATCTCCACTGTACCTGAACTGGACAACCTCAACACTTCTGGGAGCCCAGGATGCTGCTAAGAGATGGCTTTCTGAGTTCAGTTCAGATCCAGGTCTGATCTCAGTTCCAGTTCTGGCTCCCCCAGTATCTCATCCATCCCACCAGACCATACTGGGCTCTCTCCTAGAGGCACCTTAGGCCATCTTCTCTACTTGAGGTCAGTCTCAGGACAACACTGCAAGGGAAGACAGGATGGATGAAAACTGCCAAACTACACCCAGAGCTCTACAACCATGGATGCCATCTCAAGGTGCCTCAGATCTAGCCAAGCGTCACAGGTAGGCAGTGAACCTGCTCTGCTGTAAGGCTGCCCTGCACCAGAGTCCCAGCTCAGGCACCAGGCAGCCTCCTCCACAGCTCTGTCTCACAGCCATATTCTCCAGTAGCTCCACCAGTAGCTCTAATGACAACACAAGTTTTGCTGGGCAGCAAATATAACCATTCCTAGTCTGTCAGGCTTTTTACTCCTAGGAGCAGCTTGGCTGTCCTTTTTCTCCTGCCTGCCTCTTCTTGGTCATCTCATCCTCTAATTGTAACACATTTCTGGTACCAACAGAGTTGGCCAATGCCAGACCCAGTGATCCCAACACTTCTTATGCACACCTTTGCAAAAGAAACCTAAAAGAGCCTGCCTTACAGAATTCCCCATATTATAACTCAGCTTTTTTCCTAGTAATAGGCTTTCATTCATACATAACCAAGAAACAACAATACAAAGCCAATTCTTTGGTCAGGATCCAATAAGCAACACACACCAGGCACTTGCTGATCAAGAAGAACCAGAACAAAGGCTCCTTCTCATTTAACTGAAATCAGTATCTGGCCACAACAAAGCTCAGAAAATGCTCATATTGAGATGCTGTGGGACATGTGAATCAGGCGTAACTCCACAGAACAGCCTACAGGGTGAGACTACAGTTTATCAGTCTAGGATTCAGCTGTTGTAAGCAATAGTCAGGGATTGGATCTTGCCAACTCTTCATGTTCACAGTATGGATTTTAAAGAGCTTTTCAAAAGACAGAACAAACACAGTGACAAAATATATGGTGTTTCCCTCTCTTTAGGGCAAAATTCAGATCTCATGGGGCAGCCAGAGGTAGAACAGTAATCCGACACTTGTTTGATAGCCCTCTTCCTATTTAGATATGATTTAAGGGTTCTTTGCCAAGTACTAATTAATTCATTTTAGTAGTGGAAGACTCTGCTTTGAAACATCAACTTCCCCACCACCTCAAACAGTATTTTGAGATAGGACTACTGCAGGACACAGAGTGGAAGACAGTCTCTCTGAAAGCAGAGATGCCCAAGTTTATCAGGGTTTGTTAGCTCCAGTTCAGCAGTCCTGCAGGCTCATGTTGGTTTTCTTCGGACACCCTTGGGTGTGACAGCACCACGCTTCCCAGGACTCTGCTTCCCAGGGTTAGCTCAAGCAGGGCACCACCCAAATGCAGAGTCTCCTCAGCCTGGTATCAGCATAATACATCCTCTGGAACACAAAGTGCTAAAGCATACAGTGCTGACACACTCATACAAACTAACTAAAACTAGAGTAAGATTAGGCCAAACCCCAAGTTTAGGAAAAGTTACCCACCCCAGCTGAAGGAACACCACAAAGAGGAACAGCACTTATTCTAAGCATTGCTCTTGCTTTGCGTGCTTCCCACTCCTCCTGCCTGTGCCACCTACCTCCCAGCATATATCCTCATCACTTCAACCCTGTCCTTCCTCACTCTTCCAGAGGCCAAATGAGCACTCAGCTCAAATTTGCAAAACACCAGCTGGAAACCCTTGTGAGCTGCTAATAGAAGCGCTTTGGCCGCAGCTTTGCACAGCAAGGAGTACTTGCTGGTGTACCCACGGTAATGAAGCTTTACTGGTGAATCCAAGGCCTCGTGTGCAGTAGGGTGGCTCCCTTACTCCAGGCCATGAAGATACATGCAGGCAACAGCTCCATCTTAAGGAATGGAAATTCTGAGCCCCAGTCTGAAGGAGGAAAAAAGCAAGTAGTAGAGTACTACTACTTGGAACACCTCTGATACTACATGGAGTGGACCTGCTGCACTGAGCATTCCCACACATACAGTAAGTCTGAAGCTGCACTGGACGCTGTGCACGCAGTAGCCACAGCTACAGCAGGTATACACAGCGAGGAACATTCTTAGGCAGTGGAAGCCATAAGACCTGGTGTCATTTTGGCCTGTGCCACTATCATGTTCTAAGACAATTCCTGGGACATTCCCAGCAGGCAGCCCATCTACAACCCTTGCCATCGGCTGAGAATCAGAGTTCAGCAGTCTGGGCAAACATATTACGCACCGGTTTGCTTTGGTGCAAGAGAAGACATTGAAACACTATTGTTCTACGCCAATTCCTGGGACTCTCCAGGGACATTCCCAGCAGGCAGCGTCCATGCAGCCAGGCTGTCGGTGCATGGTCATCTACAACCCTTGCCATCTGCTGAGAATCAGAGTTCAGCAGTCTGGACAAAAATATTATGCACCGGTCTGCTTTGGTGCAAGAGAAGACATTGAAACACTTCACCTCCTAGCATGACTGCGGCTTCACTGCCGAGATTTCATGAAGGCACAGAACTTCCAGTGTCTTTCCAACAATGCTATTGCAATAGCTTAAATTTATGGATCATCAGCAGGCAAGAAACCTCCAGACTCATGGGCAGAAAGGTATGTGTGGGAGGGAGGCAGAACAAAAATGTAACATCAGAAGGTTGCAAATTGACCGCCACTCCCTACATTCATTTCCAAAACATTCTAGATAACTGCAAAACACACCCAGCGATCCACTACATCAGGAGGTCCACCGAATCCACAACAAACCATACCTGTAAGGATGTTCTTGAAGGCTTCTTCTACATTTGTTGAATCCAGAGCGGAAGTTTCAATAAAAGATAAGTTATTTTTTTCTGTAACAGATAACAAGTGGTTCAGTTAAAAACTTCGATAGTACATTATTTCACCTGTACTTTAAGGTTTTCACTTTTATATTAGGCCAAATCAGCCAGACCACACTCTATTATTTTTTCCCCGTTACACTAGGAACAGCTTGGTGCACCGTTTATTTAGCTGCTGGCGTTCCAGCAGCATCACCTTTGACCAGTGCCTTTCCATAGCGCGAGAACATTTTTCTCACTGCAGCCCTTGTTCAGTCAAGCAATACAGTGTTATTCTCATCTGGCTGTGGATCACTCCTAGAAGGACCTTGAGCAAGAGCACTGGCAAAAGCACGTTATTTGCAATAGGAGTCACAACTCTCCTCTGCAATCCTCCCAAAATTAAACAGGCTTACACTTTTCTAATCAGACCCCACCCCAAAATTATAATAAAGCCCCTAGTAATACAGTATTTTCTTCTTTCCCCATTACAATGCAAAAGGCACATACTTTTTCATTTACAAAAAAAAAAAGGTTGTGTTTAATGCTCAAGCATGACAGAATGGTACTGTACCACCTACCCAGACATAGGCAAATTTCAGTTGTAGAGTTTAAGCAGCAGCACCTGTATTATCACCAAACAAGATGTTGAATCAAGTGACCAAGTAATGCAGTAAGATGCCTACTAACTTGTTTTGCCTCTGTTTTATAGACTTCACTTCTCATTCATCTGCAAATTTGAAGTGGTTTTACTAACCACAGGATATTTGCTTACGAGTAAACTTCAGGAAACATGTGTAAGCAAGCCCTAGTGGTATTCCTAGAAGGATTTTAAAGGCTATACATTTAAATTTGACCTCCAAGCCTGACAGCCACACAAAAGTAAGCTGAATGTCCCTAGGCCTGTAAGGGCAAGAAGGTATTTGATCAGCGCTCTGCAAGATAAGGAAGAGAGAGAAGAAATGCAACGGCAGCAGCTCACATAAACCACTTGATTTCTCCCAACCATTTATAATCTCCACATCTGATGAATACTGCATTTAAATGAAACTAGATGAGACTACTACATGCAGCAGTGCTCTGGAGCAGAAACTACTCCATCTACGAGAAGTTTCAGTATTCATTTGCAGCTGTCCACATTGATATGCACGCAGCAGAACCAGGCCTCTCGGAAGGAAGGAAAGACATTGTGTTTTGTGATATTTCATGTTTATATTGTGACATTTTCTCTTCTAAGTGTTGCTTACTGTTTCTAGTCTTGCTAGAGGAAGTGTTTAATCTTCAGCTATCAGGCAACTCAAGGACTGCTTCAAGGGTTTCAAAAACATGTACTACCACTAGATTTGAAAAAAACTAAACCAACCACACACTATTTAATAAACTAACATATTTTCATTTAAAAAAACCCCAACAACTTAAATGCCTTTTTTAGGGTCAAAAATAAAACTTGAGGTGAAAGTTCAGCACTCAGTGACTACAGCTGCGTGATTACAGCTTGCATAAACACCATCACACTGAGAAAGCACCAACCCAGAACACTGTCTACAAACCTGCAAAAGCCCGGGCCTCATCAGTGGGCACAGCTCTCAGGTGGCGGAGGTCGCTCTTGTTCCCCACCAGCATGATGACAATGTTGTTGTCTGCGTGATCTCTAAGCTCCTTCAGCCAGCGCTCCACGTTCTCGTAAGTGAGATGTTTGGCAATGTCATACACAAGAAGAGCCCCAACAGCACCGCGATAATACCTAAAACCATAAGGCACATTTCTGTGTAGAGAGCTCTGTCCGAGTTATACCAACAACCCTGGTACCAGTTCTTCTATACTGGTTACTACTGGAAAGTTAAAAACATTCCCCCAAGCTTTGGAAAAAGTTGAGTTGATGCAAATACTGTTGAAGGGGGTTTTTTAATGCCTAAAACCAAGTTCCAAATGCTAGGTTTTCTTGAACGGCTTTCCTAAAAAATTCCAATGTATGTAACAAAATGCCGAAAAGACTGTGGAAGCCAGGACATTTCTAGTCTGCTAGAACAGTGTGCAAGAAAAGTCACAATGCATTTCAGAACCAGTACTGCTAGAAGGCTTTTGTGAAGTTATAACTTATCTTTCTACCAAGAAAATGGTCCTTAGTAAAACAACAGTATTTGTTGCTGATCTTTCAAACACCTCCTGTTCCTCTTAAAAATCAAAGAGCGGCACTCTGGGCTCTACGAACGCTCACCCACAAGCCAGTAATCCAAGAACGGAGCTTGCTCCTGCAGTGCAGGTTTGGGCCCATTTCAACTCAAGCCAAGGGCTGAGGACAGCACGAGCCAATCTATATCAGCAATCCTATAATCCTGTATAACATCCACATCTCTCTTCCACACAATCCTACCATTTCTCCACTGCTCCACCAGCACCTGTCTGAAACATCACTGAACCAATTCAGGGCACCAAGTCAGCAGAAAACATTCGCTTTGGACTGCTGGGTGGTGTTTTGCTGACTGAGCAGGCTGGACTGGCCCAGCGATGTGTCAAGCAAGAGCTCACACCAGCATAGAGGAGAGGCAGGATCGTAGGGCTGCAGATGCACTGATTCTCATCAGCCAAGTCTGTTCCTGAACCAGACTCAGCCAGCAGTTTTTCTGCTAAGCTTTTACAGCAGTAAGCATTCAAGGGTCACCAAAAAAAGAGTTATGAAAAACCGTTAACAATTACAGGAAAGACACAATTTGAAAAAGTCACTCACATCTGCTTCTGTGTTACTTTTTTTCTGCATTCTGTTTCACCTCAATGAAAAAAGTTCTTCCTACCTTGAGTTCAATACAAATGGCTCAATCCCTGCATGATTCAGAAACACATTTGAACCTCATAAATGCACATACATCTTTAACACTAAAAAATTTCAACTTGCTGATCAGAACATGCCCTGGATAACTATGCCTGCAATAGGGTTGGGGCTTTTTATCCCTCTAAAAGACACTTTCACCTACTACCTGCATAGAAACAGATACAACCAGAGGTTACATCTTAAGACACTGCCTGGATTAACAAGGTGCCGCACATGAAAGCTTCTCAATGCCACTACTCTAAATAGGGGTGTGCCTAATGCTGCGGAGTCAGCATTATCACAGTTGCCTTCCCACTTACTGGTTATTCAGCATGCACTCTCAGACCTAATTTTCAGGGCTGTGACTAATTCAAAGTCATTGAGATTTCAGGGGAGTTTGTGGCCGCAGACTGTCCTAAAAAATACCCTGTCTCACAACTGAGGGAGCAGTGAAGACCAGAAGCCAGCGGTGCCATGGTAAGCGACCACACTGAGACCAAAACGTGGCGCCAAACAGCATCCAGCTTCCATCAGAAATGGCACTTGTTCCAAGCAACACATGTCCAGGTCAGGTAAAAGACCTCAAATCACAACGAACAAAATTCCCCACGCTTTTGATTTAAGCTGTCTTTTTTTAATTAATTGTATCTCTAGAACCTAAAAGTTACTTTCATTGTATTAATAAGGAAACACAAAACTATTTGCTGTCTTATGAGTTGCATCTACACTGAAGTCTGTCGTAATGACTGTCACATGTCCCTAATATTTTGCTTTCATTCTCTACCCATAAGTTTATCTGTGCCACCTTTGTTGGAATTCTGCTGTTAACCTGAACAAAGACAGTACTCACGCTGAGGTAATGGCACGGTATCGTTCCTGTCCTGCAGTATCCCAGATCTGTGCTTTTATCGTCTTCCCATCCACCTGGATGCTCCTGGTGGCAAATTCCACCCCAATGGTGCTCTTGCTCTCCAGATTGAACTCATTGCGTGTGAAGCGTGACAGAAGATTACTCTTCCCAACTCCAGAGTCTCCAATCAACACAACTGAAAGACAAGACATTATTTTCGAGATTAGTTCTTCCACCAGCATTTACACAGCGCAGTGGTGCTGGCTGGCTGCTACAATGCCTTGCAGGCAGGACCCAGAGTTGCTGCGCAGTCAGATAAACATAGGAGAAAGTTACGCTGACAGCACCTCAGACTTTACTACTCACAGCTTGCTTCCCCAGCCCCAAAACAGCCCCAAGCCTTTTTGTTGCTAGCAGCTGCTCAGTTCCTCAGAGATGGAAATGAGAAATTGCTGCAGCAACTGTCAACAGTCAAACATCGCCTTGGAGGCCCCGTGCCACCGCCAGTGATCAGAGCCAACCCCACGTCCACTGCATACTCAGCTTTCTGGAGAGCAAGGCTGAAACCCACATTTTAAGAAATGCGACAGTCAAGGACATGGCAACAGGCTACCTGTGTGCCTGACAAAAGCCTCTGTTCGGTATAAGCTTATTCTATTTTTATTTTAAAAAACCCCAAACCAACCAAAACCAATACAGTAAGTAAACAATTATTTGCAGTCTCTGTTGGGGTCATACAGGGTGTTTTATTTCAATAATCTAATTCATAAATATGTTCACCACAATAAAGGGGAAAATATGAGACATTTGATACTACAAACAAGATACAAAGCAAAGCAGAACTTCATCCAGCAAAATGAGTTCTAGTGGATCGCACTAGTAAAAAATGAGCTAAAATCTCTGCCTCCACACGAGGCGTTGCCATGCTAACAGAAAAACACTAGCACAGAGATCTTCAGCACACAAACCCCAGCTTTACCGAAAGGCACTGTGAACATAAAAGGCACACCTTGGAGCAGGAGTCCCCCCTGCTCTGGGGATGAAGCTTTCCACTCCCAAGCACACACCTCTGCCATCGCTGCTCGAGAGGCTGCAGCTTTGGCCCAGCCACCCTGCACTAGGCTCTCCATGGACCTTCTCATCCACAGCTCCAACAGCAAATCATCACCCCGGGTTCTTCACTGTGCAGTTAAAGCAACTACAGACATTTTCTTAAATCCCTGTATTACTGAGTAGAGCAAGAAATAACTAAAGGGAAACAAGACTAAAGGCAATTAAGCCATTCTCCCTTAGTCTCAGCAAATCCTGTGTCATACGTGACTCTGGTATTCGAGCTAGCAGTATCCAGGTTCCAGCAGAAGAAAAAAAGGCACCTCAGTGAGGTTTCCTCAACCCTGGGAATATTTCCTGCTTCATTTCAAAGTACAGGTTTGTTAATCCTCCTCATTCACATGATGTTTTTCCTATAGAAAAGCAGACACGGGCAGAAAGCATCCCTGATCCCTCCACAACAAGTTACACAAGACTCATCTCATTACATGCTTCCAGAATGAGCTCACCAGCGTTCTCCTAGGGCCAAGGACCATGCTCATCTTTTAGTGTTATTACAGCTTTTTTCTGCTCAGGCCATTGTTTCGGGACACAGCTCTGGCAGCACTGCTGCTCCAGCTCACATACCCCCGGCGAGCACATTCCCAAACTTCAGCTGCAGCTCTCTGTCTCTCTGTTGCAGCAGCTCCTGAGCTGCATGGGGAGATTGCCGAAATGCCCCGCACTCCCCCCCAGCATTTCATCCGGCTGACAGCACAGATAGACGGACAATTGTGCTAGCACAGCTGAACAGTCAAAACACAACAGAGGCAGGAACAGGCAGCCAGTGGATGGTGGCAAGGCGCCACAGCTCCCCACCCGCGAGAGCTTAAATCAGCTCCTCACAGCACTCTGCCTTCGCTGGCAAACAGCCTCGACCATTCTTTAGGGTATGAGAACAGATATATTAAAAATATTTTATTACGAGTTCCTACTCTAGGATTTTTGTTAGCTTTCTTTTCCAGACAAACAGGTTTTCATCACTAATTCCACAGGGTGCTCCAAGAGCAGGACAAAAGTCACCCATCACACACAGGGATCTGCTGGTGTGGGGTAGGCTGTGCCCTGCAGCAAAGCCCTGACTGTAGCCAGGAGGAGGTAGGGACACCCACCAACACAACCAGAACAGCTTGGAAAAACCCTGAAGCTCCCAGCTGTTTCCAAAGGGAGTGACCTTCTCAGGAATCCACAGCTCAGAAAGCCCAGTCACCTCCCCAGGATCCAGTCACCTCCCATCCTCTGGCATTTTAAAATTATCAGCTTTGTGCACAAACTGTGTAAATGGCTCTCAAGTCATTAACTCCATCCGTCACAGGCAGAAAATTCAAGGGGTCCAGCATCACTTCAGCTGGTCACTCACCTCTGCTGCAACCTGGCAGCAAAGCACCAGGCTCCCCTGCACTGGGCTGCCCCACGTTCTGGCAGAGCCTGTACGAGAGCATTTTGAGAAGCTACTGGATGCAGAAGTAACAAAGGAAGGCAACCAGATCCAAAGTCAGTAAATACTGTTCCCTCTGCCTTACAGTCTCCAAGTGCTTCTTGTTAATACTTGAGCATTAGACAAGCATTTTCACTTTCAGGAGGGAGACACAAAGACTGGAGGCCCACATGCTGACAGAACCCACAAACTTTTATTTTCTGTGGGAACTGAGCAAGATAGCTTCAAGGACCTGGGCTAAGTGATGAGATCTGGGGAAAGCTCCTGAATTTAGGAACAGGCCACCAGACAGCATTGCCTGTTCAAATGCACAAGTCTCAACAGAGCAGAAAAGGAAGTTCCCAATCAGATCTAAGAGCCTGAATACTCCCTAAACACATCTCAAACAGAACTGATGAAGTTATGCTCCCAGAATGGCCTTCAGGGCCACGCTGTAATGCAGAGATGCACTGGTTTTAACCTGGAAGTGACCGGCACCAACAACCAGCACCAACCATCACCAGATGTAAGTATGCAGCCAAGCCACGCTCAGGACTCACATCCTGAATCACGGCCCTGCTCCTTCAGTCTCCCCTGATTTTCTCTCCATCACCACCCTGTGCAGCCTGCAGGTCACCAGCTACCACGTTATCCACCCACCACAGCAAAGTGTTCAGCTCGCGGTCACCATCACCACAACAACCAAGAGCTGCCCGAGCAGAGCAGGACCCCACCACCCGGACACCAGCTTGGCACCATGGGGGCCTGGGACAAGGCAAGACACAGAATTAACAACCCAGGGCAATGCATAGAGTTTAAATACATTAATCTATTAATCTGGCAAAAAGAATATATTCTTCTGAGCAATCAAGAAGACTCTCTCTAGCTGAGACCACATAAGCAGAGTTCATGGTAAATATCAAGGGCATAAGGTTGCCAGATATTGATGGCTAATATGACACACATTTGTTTTTAATGAACACAGCCTTTGTTAGGCTTCGGTTCTAAATCAGAGCAGTCTAAATTCCCACACAGGTAAAAGAAACCTCTTTTTTCTATGGGTGGTTTTTCCTTCCTTTTTCCTGAGCCAACTTAAATCTGCACAGCCTCAAATTTAATTTTTAAAATAAATGCAGATAATAGCTAATCTTGGAGGAAAATTAATGTGCAGATTGCACTTTAACAGGTACAAGGCTTCCAGTACTTTAGCAAATATTAAGAGGTCGTGAATTCCAGATCCAACCCATTCAAAACCCATCATGAGAAGTTCCTGCTTTTTAACCATCCCAGCTACAAAACTAATTGGGAATAGAGCCCTGGATACATCACTGAGACGCAGCCATGACGAGATCCTCGCAGCCTCTTCACGCTGCGCAGCTCCACACACAGAATCCAGCTCTTCACTGTGTTAACAAACAACATTTCGTCGTGATCAATAAAATAAGCAGTTCTGACTGCCAGGATGCACACAGAAGAAAAGGAAATTGGGAATAAAGACACAGTTCAGCAGAGCAGCTTTGACTGTAACCACGCTCGCACCCCCAGAGTGCCACCAGCCCCTACATTAGTTTTTCCCTACTGCGTGCTGGAGCCGATAAGCCAACTCCCTCAGCTGCCCCCACAGCCCCAGTGCGACGGCCAGTCCCAAAGCAGCAGCTGAGGGAGGACACAAGTGAGGGAACACAGGAGCAGCACACAAACTGTTGCTACAAACTCCTTGGCCATGTTCACCTCTGAATGACTGTTTTATAGGCAGTATTTCACATGGAAAATATTAACAATAAATAGGACTCTCTGCCTTCTAAATTTTTCAAAAAGCTGATTAATATAATCTATGCTAACTGACAGCAGTTCCCATACGAGCAGTTCCAGATCTTCCACAACATAAAAGAGTACAAATTGCGACTTTAAAGCAACACTGCATTCAAGCGGAATCATCCTGAATAATGTTACAATGAAAGGATGGTGATTTCTTAAACAAGCGCAACCGTAAAAGCTAAAATCAGCGTACAACCAAATTTCCTTTGGGTATGGGTGGTAGGGGAAATGGTCAAAACCTAAATTTAATAAAAATAATCCTTCCCAGATTGCAACCCTCCTCCACCATTATTTCTGCCCCTGACCACTACATGTGTCCAACAGAAGAGAGTTCATATGCGTAGCTAAGAAGGGGCTAAACCAGAAGCCAATCAAAACCCTGGATGTCTTTTTTTTTTTCATTATGTCAATTCCCCTTGATATTTAATTCTGTTACTGGAGGGGGCAGAAGGGAAAGGAAGGGGAGTCGGTCCCACAGCGGAAACCTCATCCCACTTGGTCCCATTTATACTCATTACAACTTGAGAAGAGTTCATATGCGTAGCTAAGAAGGGGCTAAACCAGAAGCCAATCAAAACCCTGGATGTCTTTTTTTTTTTCATTATGTCAATTCCCCTTGATATTTAATTCTGTTACTGGAGGGGGCAGAAGGGAAAGGAAGGGGAGTCGGTCCCACAGCGGAAACCTCATCCCACTTGGTCCCATTTATACTCATTACAACTTTCCTAGTCCCAAAAGATGAGTAGATAGGGAAAGGGTTTTTCTGTGCATTTGTTTCTTTAAAAAACAAAAACCACATCCACACAAATACCCCTACCCGAAGGACACACAGAAATGGACAATTCTCTCCCCCATTTATCATTAAGTTACGTGGTACAAGGAACCAAA